ACTGTGTGTGTGTGTGTGTGTGTGTGTGTGTGTGTGCTATAGTGTGCATGAGTGTGTGTACGTGGGTGGTCTGTGTGTTTGTGTGTGTGGTGTGCATGCATCCATACTGGGGATGGGGGTGGGGGTGGAGGTGGGGGACCTGCAGACCTATTCATTTTGTGAGGCAGGTGCAGAATACCTCCCTCTGGCTCCCAAGAGGTCTAACCACAGCCTCTTGCAGGGAGGCCCTGGACACCTCTATCTGCTCAAGAACAAGGTGGCCACCTTTGCCAAAGTGGAGAAAGAAGAGGACATGATTCAGTGAGAGGGTGGTATCCTGGGCTGGGGAGGGCTCAAGGCAAGCCTGGGGCCTGGGCTGAAACCAGCTGGGACCCCTACTCCACCAGCTTCTGGAAGCGGTTGAGCCGTCTGATGAGCAAGGTGAACCCAGAGCCGAATGTCGTCCATATCATGGGCTGCTACATCCTGGGGAACCCCAATGGGGAGAAGGTATGACTCAGACCAACAGAGCACTTCCCTTCCTGCCCTCCCAGCACTCCTGGGGTCCCCTGGCTGCAGCTCACAGCTTGTTCCTTTTGCAGCTGTTCCAGAATCTCAGGAACCTCATGACTCCCTACAGGGTCGCCTTTGAATCACCCCTGGAGCTGTCTGCCCAAGGTGAGTGAACCCTGCCGCCAGCCCTGGGTGTGGGCATCCCACCCAGCCCTGAGCCCCTCACTGTCCTGCACAGGGAAGCAGATGATTGAGACCTACTTTGACTTCCGGTTGTACCGCCTGTGGAAGAGCCGCCAGCACTCAAAGCTGCTGGACCTCGATGAGGTCCTGTGAGGGTCCGGCCATGGGCACTGCATCCAGGACACATGGCCCTGGTCTTGCCCAGAGCTCTTCAGGGGCCCCAGGAGGTCACTCAGGTTCTCATGGGATTCAGTCCTTACTGCACCCATGGCCCCAAGGCTGCAGTCCCGGGCCAGCAGACACCCAGTGTTTGGGGCATCGACCTGCCGGCCTCGCCTGGAGGCTGCAGTGTTGAAATCTCCTCCGCGGGTTCATAGAAATAAGTGCAATTTCTTATGCTCCTGAAACAATCTGAAGGGAAGCAGCATTACTAGTTAACTAGTCCAGCGCTAGGCTACTAGTTACGGCGTAGACTACCCGGCCTAGTGTATGTCCAGGTCCTCCTCTCCCCACCCCTTAGCCCTGCCGTATTTGATCACCAGCACCAGGGTGGCCCCTCTGTCAGCTTTCCCTTCCCCACACCCCTGCTCACTCTGACCTCAGCCGGCGTCAGACCTGGCAAGGGGCAGCCGGGCGGAGGGCAGTGGTAGGAGGGTGGTAGGGGCTGCTCCCATTGCCCTGGGCCCAGCAGCTCTCACTTTTGTTGGCCTTGGTTGGAGGCCTCCTCCCCACACAGAGGCCTGGGCTGGGCTGGGCCCTGCAGTGAGAACCACACTGATGCTGCCAGCCCCACACCCCAAGCCTGAGCCCAAGGAGCTAGTGGGTGGCAAGAGCCCCAGCTCCCCTCCCCATCTTGCCCAGGGCCCACAGGTGGGCTCTCTTGTACATAGTTAGGGCTTGGGGGCAGGCCCCCCTCTCGCAGGCCCAGGGCCGAGGGCACCTGGCTGTGTCCCTGGCTGGGGATGGGGCTGGGCTCTACACAATGTACGATACCCTCGAGTGACCATTAAACCTGATCCTCTGCTGTGGCTGCGTGTGGTCTCTGCTCAGTGCCTGCCAGCACCTCCTGGCCTGAAGTCACTGCTGTGGCAGCTTGTTACGCACACTGGCTTGGCAGGGTGGGACCACCTGACTCCCTTCAAGGGCACATGGCATATGGGGCACCAGTGTGGGGAGAGGACAGAGGGTCCATTGGGCTGGGGAGTGCCCCAGGAAAGGGTTGGGTGTGGGTGGAGGCAATTCCCTCGTGGCTCCTCTGCTTCCTCCCTGGGCATTAAGCAAGGCTGCCCATACCCTCAGGCTCTCTGTGTGTGTGCTCAGCAATGTGGCCACAGCAGGAGGTCAAGGAGTGTGTGCAGGACTAGCTGGCTGGGCCCCAGTGTCCAGCCAGGTGCCACTGCCAGATGGTACCTGTTCCATCCCGTGGTATCACGGTCAGAGCCACTGGTTGGGAGGAGGAGGTGGCAGCCTGTGCAGATCCAGGGCCAGCTGCAGGGGTGTGGTGTGTGCTTCCAGCAGGAGGGATAATCTGATGCCAGCAAGAGTATGTAAGCTCCTAGCAGTTTAGGTAGAATATCAAATGCCCATATGCTTCCACTTAGTTACCCAAGCTCACCGAAAGTGATTTATGAGAATGCTGTGATCCAGCCATCTCTACTGCGGTCCTGTGCCCTGCCCCTGGCCTCATGGGCACCGGCAGGCCCAGGCTGGGGAGTGTGAGGCTGCTCTAGTGGGTGCTTCTGCCCCTCAGATGGTCACTGAGCAGGAGGAGTCTAATATGTGGCTCTCAAGGTTCCTTCCTACAGCAAGCAAAGACAGGTGCTAGAGGAGAAGTCATCAGTCGGAAAACCACAAGAGGGGAGCCCAGTGCCCTCAGGGGTGTGGGGGAATGGGGGACACAGGCAATGGGGAGTAGGTAGATGCCCAAGGTGTTCCCCACTTACAAACACATAACCAAACAGTTGGGATGGTCCAGTGCATGCAGGAGCTTAAGGATTAATCTGGTACAACAACTTTAATAGGTTAAGAGTTTTTAGGCAGACAACGAAAGACAGCACCAACAGGAACTGAGCCAAGATGTGATGAGGTAGGCAGGACCTGGAGGCCAGCAAAGGTGTGAGGAAAGGCTGAGCCCCATGAGGGCTGACAGAGCTGGCCAAGTGTCTTCCTAGTCTATGGTTGGACCTTCCAAGGACAGGAACACTGGCGCTGATGAGGTCTTCAGCAGCTTGCAGCATGAAGCACATAGTGTCTGGGGTGGAGGCCAATGCCTGCCACAGTGCCCTCCCCAGGGGTTACACGGCACACCCTGGAGTAGCACCCTGGGAAGAGTGGGCCGTTTGTTCCAGTGAGTCTCAGAAAAAGGCAGCCTGGTCTAGCAGCAGAGGCCTGGATAGTACCTGTTGGACACATTAGTAAACAGTCTCAGTGCACCTCCTGATCCTGAGGAGGCCTCAGGAGACAGCACAGAGGCTGCCCTCCTCCCTGGCAGTCCTGTCCACACTGGCTTCATGCCCCTGGGTACAGAGTCCTGAGCTGCACATGCAGGTTTTCCTCAAGACTCCAGACAGATACCCTGGGCACCCCTTGCCTGTCTTTTATGCCAACAGAGAACCCTCGTAGGGAGCGTGGAAGGCAGGTGGAAGTGTAGCACTAGCCCTGGAAGGTGAGGAAGATAAAGCCCCGTGGGAGAATGAATGGTTGTGGACAGTAGAGCGATCAGCAGCACTCACACCCTGGCTGTGTGTGGTCCTTCTCCTGGGCACAATGTAGCCCAGGTGGCACCTGCCTCTCTCTGGCCCCTGCTGGCAGGTGGTCAGCTCCTCAGCCACCTCTATGTCCTCTACCACCTCTGCCTCCTGACTTGAAGGCTGGAAGAGGCCAGGAATCTACTTCTAGAGGTGTCATGAGCCCTGGCCCGCATGTACATGTGTCAGAGCTGACCAGAGTAGTTGATCTGGCCCCTTCCTAGACCCATCACTGTGGGTACCACAACAGCCTGGCCAGCTTGTGCCCCAAAGAGGTTGGAGAAGGAAAGTGACCTTAAGTTCTGAGCCTAAGACCAGGACACCAGTGGTCTTAATGGGGTGGAAGGAACTGAGAGTCTCATAAAGAAAGATTCAAAACCTTGCATACCAGGGTTACCTGGCATCTTGGCCAGCCACACACAGGGACCCAAGGTGGGAAGACAAAGGTGTGGAATTGTCCAACAAATGCTCTAAAGCAGCAGAAATGCTCAAAGGAACCATCCTGACCACTTAAATATTAGAGTAGGAAGTGACTGCAAAGAAATAGACACAGAGCCATCCAGACATATTTAGAAAATATAGTCACCATTATTGAAAAGGCAGACAAAAGCCAAGGACTTACCAGACTCCTTATCAGACTCAACAACAAATGGAGATGGAGCAGGAGGAGCTGTCAGCTCAGGGTTGGGCCAACAGAAGACCCCACTGGAAAAAGAAATGAAGACGGGAAAGTGAACAAGGGCCTGGGGACATTAGGGTGGGGTGTATGATAGGGCTGTCAGCAAAGCTCCAGAAACAGAGGGGAATGGCAATGCTGAGAAAAATATCTCAAGAACTAAAGATGGAAGCATCCCAAGACTAATGCAAGATGAACCCATGGGCGTGGGAAGCTAAGCAGCCTTAAACAAGACGCAGCCAAGGAGATCACACAACGCATCCTCACCAAGTGGCTGAGGACCAAACACACAAGCTTGGCATGGTGTGCACAGCCCCGGCCAGCACAGCGGGGTGGCACCGCAGGCAGTGGGCACCGAGCCTGTGCCCTGGAGGCTGAACTCAGGTCAGAGTCTTAGGCTGGGTCCCTCTGAACTGCTATCCTGGGCCAGCAGACGCCGCCTGCTCCCATCTGTTCACGCAGTTGTTCCCATCTGTGTCCTGAGCCTCATCCCATAAGGGCCTAGTGTGGATCTGCTCTGTGCAGACTGTCCCTCAAGTTCAGATGCCAGCCATAGCCCCATCCTCTGACCAACATCTCCACTCAGATTTGATTAATTTGCTAAAGCTGCCCGAGGAACTCAGGCAACACTGTGTTTAGCAGTGATCAAAGGACCCAGAAGAGAGATACATAGTGGAGGGAGCACAGACTTCCGGACCCTTCTGGGGTCCCACAAGTTCAGCCCTACTGAAGCTTTATGAACCCTGTCCTTTTTGGTTTAATGGAAGAAGTCCAGTTTCTAGGGCCTGCTTGGAGAGGGTCAGAAGCTAGGAACCACAGCTGGACATATAAACATGTCTCATAATGCCCTAAGCCTTCCCTGGTTTTCAAACTGGGATACCACACATCAGAAGGACACAACTCAAAAAACTGCCGCAGTACTGGAGGCCAGGCCTGGCACTGGCGATTAGTCACCTCCACCTCATGGAATGACTGCATCTCCCGGGGGAGGACTGTGTGAGTTTGCAGGCCACATGTGGTCTTGCCAACTTGCAGCGGCAGGCATGGTCTCAGCACACAGCCTCGAGCTGCCTGGGCTGGCATCATGGAGCAGGGGACAGTGCCATCTGCTCTCTGGACCTCCTCCCCTCTTCCTTGGTTCCACTGTTACTGCTCCACCCAATGCAGCAGGAGAGCTGGTGGCTGCTGTGTGGGGCTGAAGCCCGCAGCAGGGCTGGCCAGCAGGAGCCTCCCTATGTGCCATGCAGGACAGCAGGGAAGCAGCCCAGGGCCAATCTCCTTGAGCTCTAACTTGGCTGGGAGAGGGGGTGCAGCCTCGGCTCTGTGATCTGTAGCCTTCCCTACTCCCCTGCTCACAGAAGTCCTGCATTTCAGCACCCTGCTCAGGCAGGCAGAAGAGAGAAAGTACCTTCCTCTCACACAGCTCTGTCCACCTTCAGGAGGACTCAGCACTCTCCCAATCCAACGGTGGATGAGGCTAGCAGGACCCTCACAGCCCCAAAGGGCATACTTGCCTGCGATGCCGGGTCTGCCCTCAGAGAGCAGCCCCTCAGCTGCTGCTCCCCCTTCTCTGCCTGCCATTGGGATATGCCCACCCCACAGCTGTGGGGGAAACAATCTCAGAACCTGAACCCCAGTGCAGTCTCCCCAATGCAGTCCAGAGCCAGGCTTGCTTCTGTGGGATTTGTCTGTGAGAGCCTGGCTGGCCTCTGAGTGGACGCCCATAGCAACCCCACACTGCTGCTGGCCTGTGTTATGCATTTAAAGACCAGGTGGCCATGAGAAGTAGGCACAGGCTCTCGTCCTCCCTTCCCTGGCGGCTCTTCTGATGGCATTGACAGGTCATGTGTCAGACCCCTGACCCTAAGGGCCTATGGCCAGTAGGCAGACCTGCCCAGGCTCAGGCTCAGACTCAGGGGCTTCTGTTGAGGCTGGCCCTGCACTGGGCTGGGCATCTCCCCTGGTCATATTAGCACTGGCTCTTGCTCTCAGAACTGCTGTTCTGGCTGGGTCAACAGAGAGCCAGGACTGAGTGCCTCCAAGAGCAGGGGAACACATCCGGACAGAGCCTCTGGCTGCAGGACCCTGTGTGAACCATGTCTGCCATTCTTCTGGGCACCACTTCCCCATGAGCGCATCTTACAACACTTGCCGCAACATCCTGATGCTTTAACCTTCCAGATATTCTGTGAAGCTAGGCATGCTGGCACCTACCTGGAGTCTCAGTCACTTGGGTGGCTGAGGCAGGAGGGTCACTTGAACTCAGGAGTTCAAGACCACCCTGTACAACATAGACTTCAACTGGAAAAAGCAAATCTTTCCTGATTTAGGGCTATCTCAGCTGATGTCCCAGACTGTAGCTCCAGTCTGCAGTTTACTGGTTGTCGCTGGGAGGTGTGTACAGGTGCAATGAAGGCCCCACAGGGATGGGGGAAGGACAGTCCATGCGGGACTCTGCCCTCTTTCCAGCTCCCACCAGCAAGTCCAGTGACAAGTCCTACTGCCTGAAAAGGGGCTTCCAAGTCTTCTGTTGGTGTTTTTGGCTCTTTTTGTTTGCTTTTTGTCTTTGCAGTGCTGGAGATGAACCAGGGTCTTGTGCATGCTG